GTGAGCTGCCAGCACTGGGCTGTGGGGCAAGCAGAGTACCCGTTGATCAATCCAATGTTTACTTTGTTCTAGGCTGTTTTATCATGACCGTTCAAGCCTCTGCCACCTCTCACCTATTCCACGTGCCCAGAGGAACGTTTGAATTGGAATGATTTGTCTTTCTGACATTTTGCTGCAAACCCTACTGAATTGAATTGGGTTATGAAAAGATAACGTATTATGAGTAAGATATTATGAAAACTCTGCCTAACAGATCATAAAGAAGTTAAGGAATTTTAACTGCAAAGGTTCTGTGCACTGGAAGGTCCCATTGAAAGGATGAAAAAAGTTAACTGGGAGAAGGTATTTGCAAAACATTCACTGACAGAGGATTACTGTCCATAATATACAATTGAGCCTTGACCAACATGGGTTTGAGCCATGGGGGTCCATACAGGTTTCACAGGGCCTGCAGCGGGACTTGAGCATGCAGGGATTTTGGTGTCACAGGGATCCTGGAACCAATGCGCTGAGTATACCAAGGGATGACTGTATGTATCAATTCCAAAATGTCATACCACTGAGTGGCCATTCACAGAGGGGGCAAGCTAAGTAAGCCAGTGAACATGAAATTATGCCAAACTTCAGAGAAATGCAGCTTAAAACACCACAAGAGGTCTCACACTTCTCAGACTGACAGAACGACCTAGAGCAGTAAGAGTGAGAGTGCTGCGGGGAGGGGTGCACATTGGTTCATCCTTTTCAATAAGGCATTTAGAAAAATCTAGCAATGATGAAATACTCAAACTATGACCCTATGTATCCCCTATGAGGTATTGGCCCCCGAGGGCTCTTGCACTTGTGTTTCAGAGACAGTATAAGACTAGTTTTTATAGCATGGTCGATAATAGCCAAAACATTGGAAAGATCCTCGTACATATTGTATTCTGCCACCTCGTCACACTATTCCACGTGCCCCAGAGGAACTTTGAATTGGAATGATTTTGTCCTTCTGACATTTTGCTGCAAACCCTACTGAATTGAATCTGGGTTATGAAAAGATAACGTATTATGAGTAAGATATTATGAAAAACCTCGCCTATTGAGTAAAGGGGTCTCCATGTTCTTTCCTCCTGTCTCTCTGATTCCCACTTCATCTTGTGACTTTTTTTTTTTTTTGAGACAGAGTCCTACTCTGTCGCCCAGGCTGGAGCTCAGTGGGTGCAATCTCGCTCA